TTTTTTTTTTTTTTTTTTTTTTTTTTTTTTTTTTTTTTTTTTTTTTTTTTTTTGTTATTTTATACTTTTTAATTATAATTTATGCAAATTTAAATTTTTTAAATATGTTAAATTTTTTATATCAATAAAAAAGGTTTTAATTACCTTATATAAATTTTCAAAAAATTGAAGTATTTAGTTCCTTAAATGAACCAAAAAGATTAACGTTACTTTTATTATAAAAAAAAAAGTATTTAGTTACAAAAAATAGATTTAAATAATTATATAGAATTTTGTTAATATTTGTTATTTTTTTTTTTGTTAAAATATAAATGTTTAAAATGAATGAAATTAATTATTATTACACAAAAAAAAAAAAAAAAAAGGTTAATTATACAAGTGAAGAATAACGTGAAAAATTTTAAAAAATTATTAAAAATAAAACCTTATTATGTTTAAAAGATATGTATTTTTAAAAATATTTAATTATGAATTTAAAAAGCAGTAAAACTCTCTTAAATGTTAAATTAAGTGAAAAATTTTTATTAAATAATTATGAAAAGTATTTTTATATGTTAAGGAAAATTTATATATGAATATATTTTTTTAGTATTATTAAAAAAATATACATATATTAATATTATAATTTGTAATTTGAAAACACATTTTTTCTTTTCTCTTTTTTTCTTTTCTTTTTTTTCTTTTCTTTTTTTGTGTATATAAATGTATGTCTTCATAATTTTATATTTAGTTTCTATTTTATTAGGTGGAAGGATTATTTTTATATTGTTAATTAAAAACTTTTTATATAATTAAATTTTGGTGTAAAATGAATCTCTTTATTATTACTGTTTTTATATGTTACATATATTTCTATACTCATTTTACCTACAATTTTAGTTCTAATATATTCTATTTATTTTTTTTTTTTTATAATTCCTATTTTTTCTTTTTAATAAACTATTAATTTTCCTTTAATAATCATATTTAATTTAATAAATATTCACACATTTAGTTATCATAAATAAATTTATAGTAAATGAAGAAAAAGAAACTATATTTTAAATTAAAAAAAAAAAAAAAATTCAATAAAAAATGGAAATATGTTAAATTTTTTTTATATGTCTAAATATGCAATTTTACATTGTTATTAAATATAAAAAAAATATTTAATACATATGTATATAATAAAATATTTATAGAATTACTAATTATATTTTTTTAAACTTTTAATATTTTTATTACTGAAATATCTGTGGGGTTCATTACAAAGTGGTTAATATTCTTATGCTTTTTTTTTTATTTTAATTTTTTTCATCATATAACCTTCTAAATAACTACATAAAATAATTCTCAAAAAATTTTAGTAAATAACAAAATAAATTAGGCTAAATGAAAAAAATACAAAAATAAATGTAAAGAATAATTAAAAATAAACAAAACTTTATGAGATTTATCTTTCAGATTAATTTCTATTTATTTCTTTTTAATATATATAAAATAAATTTTTTTTTTTTTTTATGTACTAATATAATAATAATAAAAAAAAAAAAAAAAAATCGTTATTCTAATAATCTAAATTCAGTTTCTTATTTTTCTACTTCATTCACTTTTTTAAGTTTATTTATTTTTTATTTAATATATAGAATTAAAAATAAAATAATAAATTTGTATATTTTTAAATCTTTATCATTACACACCTTAAAATGATAATATTTTACAAAAAAAAAGTTATATTTTTTATCCATAAATCACTACCATTTCATTGTAATATTTATTTTATTTTTTATATTATTTTTTTTTTTTTTTTATCTTTCTAATTTATTAAAATATTTTTATTTCTCTTATTGTAATACTTTTAATTGTATAAATATTTTATTATATATATATTTATATTTTCCTATATATTTACAATTTTTTTTATCATATATGAGACTTTTTAAAATTTTTTTTATGTAAAAAAGATTTACTTATTTTTTCTTTTTTATTTTAAATTGAATACAATGAAAAAAAATTATCAAAATTTTTTAAAATAACAAAAATAAAAGTTAAAATAAATTATGAATACACCAAAGTGGATAAGTTATCTTTTTTTTTTTTTTGTCATTTGTAGAAACTAATATATAGAAATGGTAAGTCATATTTATTAATTTTTTTTTTTTTTTTTTCTTTTCTTTCATTTTTATTTATAAGAAAAGAAAGAAAAAAGAAAAACGTACAAAGCAAAATATATTTAAAAAAAAAAAAAAAAAAAAAAAGATAAAAA